TGGATTGAATGACCTGAGCCAGCATTGCAGTTGCCATCAATTGTGGTTAACAAAACACTTTGGAAATAACAAAATGCCTGATAAATAAAATAAAAACATGGCCATGAGCAGTAAAAGTGAAAGACTCTCCTGGATGAGCAAACAAAAACATTACCATTTATTTGAAGACAGGAATTATACTGATATATACTTTTGTGGAAATTAACATCATCTTGCATTAAGAAGCAGAACAGGATGAAATAATTTATTTCATCCATTTAAATATCTCAGTTCTATTGACTAGGGCCCTGCGGGACTTGACATCTTTCCACAGGGCCTGCAAGACAGAGCTGTTCCACCAGGCCTTTGGCCAGGGCACAGCCTGACTCCTTCCTTTGGCAATCTTCACAGAACTCTAGCCCAATGGTTGCCATCAATTTGATTTGAATTAATTTTATAATGAAATGATTTTGTTAGCCGCCCTGAGCCCGGCTTCGGCTGGGGAGGGCGGGATATAAATAAAATTTATTATTATTATTATTATTATTATTATTATTATTATTATCAGAAGCACCAATAAGAACATAAGAAAAACCCTGCTGGCTCTGGTCAATGGCCAAACTAGTTCAACATCCTTTTCCGACAGTGGCCAACTAGATGCCCATGGGATGCTCAGAAGCCAGTCCTGAGTGTAGCTGCATGCTCCCCAATTGAATGGATGGAAGATGATTTAGAACTCTCCCAGGTGAGAGATAGGGGAGGTATTAGATGGTCCTGCGGTTAATGTACCCATGAGTGCTTCAGAGGTGGGGAGAGTATCTTACGTAGCCAGTGTTATTTTTCTAAAAAAAGAGGTGCCAGAACTCACCATGAACACCTCCCTCATTATCTTAGAATGGCAATGGCACCCACCTGAGAGGTGCCAGAACTGAGTTCTGGTGAGTTCAGGCTGGGGAAAAAGCCCTGCACATAGGTATGCTTGGCAGCGTTTCTTTGTACATGGGTAGTAATGTTGCAGAGTATAATTGGTTTGCATGTGGGTGGTTGATTGATAGAGAAAATGTGTGAGATAGTGAATGACCGTAGTGGTTGGGTGGGATGGATGGTGAGAATGAAACTGGGTGGATGGTCATATGAGCAGTGTGTTTTATATCGTTTGGGATTGTACCTTATGGTGCCTTGTAATGCTCTCCCACTTTATTGATTCTGTGTTAATGGATGCTGTTTATATATTTGATTTTGTTTCTTATGTGGACCATTTTTACATTGTACTTATTGTGTGTGCTCATCTCTGCTTGTGTATGTATCTATAACTATTTTTTACAGATGTACACATAATTACATTGTCCACAAATGGCAATAATATTAATAATAATTCCTAGCAACCGGTATTCAGAGCTGTACTGCCTCCAACCGTATTTTCATGTGAAATCTTTGTTGGCCATCTGTTTTGAAAATTGGACATAATTGTTCAGTCCTGAAGCAAACATTAGATGTCACTTGTACAAGATTGCCTCTACCCTAGAAGGAACCACCGCTTGACATTGGATAAAGCTGCTGCTATTCTGAATAGTTCCATGGGGATCTTATCCCTCAGCCGAGGGGATTAGCTATCATTTGATGGAAGATGGACTACCGACTATCTGTGTTTTACACAGTTACTGTGCACCGTGTACAGTATATCTAGCAAGGTGTCATCATAATGGCCCCTGGGTTTACCCTACTGTACTATCCAGCCTGCCACTTCAGCAAAAAAATAATAGCTCCAGCAGCCCTAGTAGGACTCGAGAGGTTGTGAGAAGCCATTTTAACTAGAATGAAAGGGAATCCGATCACATTGTGAACAATTGCATTGCGGTATTGTATGTAATTACACTGGAACATAGCTTTGCTTTAAAAAAAAAAATCGCCTAGGTGGATTTCGGCGTTATCTCCTTAGTGCATAAGAGTAAAAGTCAGCCACACTGTCCAACTCAAATGCTGAAAAGTAATCTGAACAAAATGCTTCAAATAGTGACTTGTATCTTCCCATTGCAGCTTAATCTGTTTCCTGGCTACTCTACACACACACACACACGCTTTCCTCTCCCTCTCCCTACAGCGTAGTTCACATAAGCAGCAAAAGAGGTGGTAATCATACCTGCGAAATGTACTGCCAGGCTGAAGATGGGGGTTTGCGTGGTGTAATGGTCCCCATGAGAAAGAAACGCACAATTGTTTCAGGAGCGGCATACGATTGCAGAAACTATAGCTGATCCTATCCCTGCTCAAAAGTAAGTCCCTATAATAATAATAATGTGTAATAATTTATTATTTATACCGTCCATCTGGCTGGGCTTGTCTGGGTCAAATATTAAAATGCTATAATACATCAAACATTAAAGCTTCCGAAACAGGGCTGCTTAGATGCTTCTAAAGCCTGGTAGTTGTTGTTCTCTTTGACATCTGGTGGGAGGGTGTTCACAGGGAGCGCCTACCGAGAAGGCCCTCTGCCTGGTTCCTGTAACAGCTTCTCGCAGTGAGGAACCGCCAGAAGGCCCTCAGTGCTGGACCTCAGTGTCCGAATTGCGGTGATGGGGTGAGCGTCATTAGATATACTGGACCAAGGCCGTTTAGGGCTTTGAGTCAGCACCAACACTTTGGTGTGCTCGGAGCGTGCTAGGGAATATGGATCTTTCAAGACCAGTGTTATGTGTCTCACGGCCGCTCCCAGTCACCAGTCTAGCTGCCCCACCTGTGTTCAGGTCACCTTCAAAGGTAGCCCCACGTGGCGTTAGAAGTAATCCAGCGGAGAATGTAGAGCATGCACCACTCTGGCAGGCAGTCAGGGCAGATGGTCTCAGCCGTACCAGATGGAGCTGACCAAGCAGCTGCCCCTGGACACAAGATTTGTGTCTCCATGGACAGCTGTGAGTCAAAATGACCAGACTGCGCACCTGGTCCTTCAGAGCAGTTGCCCCATTCAGGCCAGGGATCCCCCCACTGCCTGCCCGCCTCCTGTCCCCCAAAAACAGTACTTCTGTCTTGTCAGATTCTTCTGTGCCGCCATCCAACCTCCAACCGCCTCCAGGCACTCACACAGGACCTTCCTTCACTGGTTCTGATTTGAAGAGAGGGTGGGCTGGGTATCATCTGCCTTGATGAACACCCAGCCGTCCCCTGATGGTCTCTGGCCTTCCTTGTAGATGTTTGAAAAGCATGGGGGAGAGGACACCCCACAAGAGTGCCATCCCACCACTTTCACAGACACGGCCCAGGAGGAAGGCGGAACCACTGTGGTGCCCCCAGCTCCAGCCCCTCAGACGGTCCAGAAGGATGTTATGGGCCGATGGTATCAACGCCGCTGAGAGATCCAGCAGAACCCCAGAAGCAGCTCACCTTTGTCCTAGCCCGCCAGAGATCATCAGCCAGTGCGACCAAGGCGGTTTCAGTCCCATGATGAGGCCTGAATCCGGCTGGAAGGGATCCAAATGGTCCGCTTCTTCCAGGCGTGCCTGGAGTTGTTGGCAACCACTCGCTCAATCACCTTGCCCAAGAATGGAAGATTTCAGAACTGGGCGATAGTTGGCTGTCGTGGCCGCATCTAAAGATGGTTTTTAAGGCGGTTTAATAACCGCCTCTTTAAATGGTCGACTCACGGAGGAAGCATTCACCCACCCCACCAGAAGCCCATGCCCAGTCCTTCCCGGCTAGCTTTTATAAGCCAGGGCAGGATCAAGGAGCAAGTGGTTGGTTTCACTCGTCAAGCAGCCCACCTGTCCACATCCTCAGAGGTAACAGATTGGAGATTGATCCACACAGCCGGCTAGACAGGACTCTGGCCTCTCCGCAGCCTGCTCCCCACGGTGAGTCTGCCTCTTCTGAATCTGAGCTGACTTTATCTGCAAAAAACTTTGCAAAGGTATTACCAGAGATCATGTGGCATGCTGGGCCCTGGTGGGCAGGTGGTTCCGCTAAATTGCAGACCACCTGAAAGAATCTCCTGCTGCTTATTTTCCACTTGGGTCTGTGGCGGTGAAGAAAGTCTTCTTCGCCGTCGCTATCGCCACTTGGTAGGCTCGACATTGAGCTCTAACCCGTGTCTGGTCAGATTCAGAATGGGTTATCCGCCACCGGCGCTCTAGCCGTCTCAACGATTGTTTCATTGCCCTGGCTTACTCCCAGTTCAATGAGCACAGAATTGCAACCTAATTGTATCAAATTAATTGATTCAATCGGGGGGGGGAGTGTATTGTCAAAACAAAAATGTTGTCCATGAGAAACATGGGGTCCATGCTTCCAAGATGGTGCACACCACTGTCAGACTTCTATTACTTTAAAATATCCACTTCCTTTTTTTACCTGATCAAAATTTTCTAACAATCTAATCGATCAAAGATCTCAGGTTTAATTCCTAGACATGAAAAAGCCCTGGTGTTATTTAATCAGTCATTCATTCGTCAGCCAATCAATCAATCAATCAATCAATCAGGGGCAAAGTTAGGTTAGAATTCTTCTTTCTGACGCCTAGCTTTCTATGTGTGGTGAATAAATACTAAGGCTGAAACAACCCTGTACTGACTTACCTGAGGAAACCCAATTAAGCCCAATGAGATTTATTTCTGAGTAGGCATGTGTAGGGTTGTCCTTTTAAGGAGTTGAAAACTGTTGTGCCCCAAACTAATTTAGGCTGTGACACATGATCCATTTACATCAGAGTAGTTCCATTAAATTTCACAAGGTTACTCTCAATAGGCTTCCTTCAGTCAAAAGGGTGAGGGCACCTCTGGAAACATATCTGCACAACCCTATTCATTTTTGTTATGTTGCCATTAAAAAAAAACAAAAAAAAACTGGGTTGCCATATCCCATTGCATTTGCTTGGCTTTATAGCAGCAAAGAATTGTTCAGATCATTGTCTGCTAATGCAGTTCCAGGATGGAATAATTATTGTATTGCATCTGGGAAAGCAAGCTTCTGTCCATGTCTGAGACCTCTGAATTAATTACGCCTTTAAACAAACAAACAAACAAACAAATATGTGAATAGCTCAGTTGATTAGAGTGTGGTGCTGATAATGCCAAGATTTCAGGTTCATTCCCCGTATGGGACAGCACATATTCCAGCTTTGCAGGGGGTTGGACTAGATGATCCTCAATGTCCCGCTTCCGGGGTGGCGCCATCGGCAATGGCGGACTCCCTCTGAACTGGAGGGACTAGCTCTGCGTGAAACGGGTCTTTTCCACTACGGCGAAGCAGGGACCCTTTTAAAAATCACAGGCGGATGAAGCCTGTGACCATGGGACTCGGCGGGCACCCTTAGCGCCCCCCCAACCCGCAAAGGAACCCACTAACGGGCTCCGAAGTGAAGAGGGGGAAGTGGCGCGGTGCTGTGAGTCAACTGCTATTTCCGTGGAGCGAAGCCGCATAGCCGTTGCTGGAGAGCGCTGCCTTTTTCCTGGGACAATTTGGCTTCTAAAATAAGCACCCGTGAGTACTTAAACTTTGAACAATCGGACTTTAAATAAGGACTTGTGAGCAGAAAGGAATTGGACCTAAAAATTTACTTCAATTTGGTACTGAAACGGGAAGGTCTAAACAGGAAGTCAGCCTTCCGTTTCTTTGTAGACAGAATAAAGCAAAGACAATGTAAACTAGAGCTCAGAAAATCGCTTCTAAAGGTTTGGCTTTCATCATTTAAAACTGTTGAACCCCCCTTCGGCAGCAGGAGAAGAAGGGGGATCTTTTTTGGACTGTTTAAACCTGCAGAAGTAAGTTTAAAGTAAAGTAACTTTCCACCGTCCTGATCCTGGAGCGGGGTGTCAGGACTGACGTTTGAAGCTCATTGACCAGAGACAAACGTTTTTGACAGATAGTTAAAAGAAGAGAAACATAGTGATTCCACTGTTTCCTTTCGCATTTTAAAGGAACAAATATTGACAAAATACCTCAAAAAGGATACTTTGTTGCAATAACAAATAGAAGTTTTCCCCCTAGAGGGAGACTGTGAAACTGTAACTAATTCCAGGGAGCTTGCAGCTGTCACAGATTACAATCGTGGGAATGGATTTGTGACCTTGTAGGACAATGTATTCAGAGGCTCTGTTGTGTGCTCTCTCTAAAACAAGTGCCCTACTGGAACAGTTAAATGAGAAGATGGATTTGATGACTAATGCGGTCAGAATTTTTGAGCAGGCAGTGGGAAACTATGTGGAGCCCACCCAGGAATTAGATCAGGAGTGTGTCCTGACAGAGCAGATGAGAGAAGAGGATGTTGCTGAATCTTGGGCACCAGAGATGGAGGGAGCTGCGGCCTTGCAGGAACATGAGCTTTTGGATTTGACAAATGAACTTGGAAAAAGCCAGATTTGGAAAGATAAAGTTTGGATTGGTTTGGAAATGGGGGGATGGATAGACCCCCCTATGCAGGGATGTTTGGACTTTCCGAGTCTGGCAATGGGCCGTGAGATGTTTGGAGCTGTGGGGGCTCTTAATTTTGGAGGGATTCTGAAACATGTTTTTAAATACCACATGGAGTTTAGTCTGGACTATGGAAAAGGGGCTGATTTGTTGAAAAGGGTCAAAAACATCACCAAGCTGGAGTTCCCACGAGTGAAAGGAGAATATGAAGAAGAGCTGCAGAAGGGACATGGGAGAGATTTAAGGGCCTCAGATATAAGGTTACCAGGTTAATGCGCTAGATCGATGGGATAAAAAGGACTGACAAAACCCGGGACCAGGAGGAAGGGACGCTGGATGAAGATTGGATTGTTTTTATTTCTTTTTGTTTATTACCAGGATTGTTTTATAAAATTGATGAATGTTAGAAAAATGTTGGAACGAAATTACTTGGCTCTAGCAAAAATGTTTAAAGAATTAGGTAAGAATATTATGGTTGTGAGAAGTCAGTAAAAATAAGATTTAAGTTTTAAGGTTTTCTATAAGATAAGATGAAAATAGATTAAGGTAATGTAATGACAGAATATTATGAAATATGGAAAGGATTTGCTGCGATAATTATTAACTAGGATACAAAAAAAGAGAGGAGGAGGAGGTCAAAGAAAGAAGGTAAGGAGAGTTGAGGATTCGAGAATGATGGATTTATTTTTGTCTGTTTGTGGTGTATTTTTGCTTTTTGAATTTGTATTGTTTGATGTGGTTTATTTTTTCTTTGTTTTTTCTTTTTTCTTTTTCTGCTTTGTTTTTTCTCTTTAATTCAAATTTTTTTTTCAATAAATATCATTTTTTTTTTTTTTTAAAAAGATGATCCTCAATGTCCCTTCCAACTCTACGATTCAATTTCTTTTCCAAAAACAATGCTTTGTTACCAACGGACATAATTCCTATTAGCCAATAGGTGGCACTGGAAGCACTTCACATTACCTAGCAGTCTCCTTTGAGAGATAGATGTTCTGTTTCACAGAAGTAAAGGTATATTATGCACACAAATTAAAAGCCAAGGCACATTTAAAATTCTATCATTAAAAACATTACACATTTTTAGATCGGAATTATGGAACTATGGAGAATTGAAGAGAAGCCCTGTTAATATGAACAAATGGACTACGTTATTTGTAGCTTTGCTATAGAGAGTTTGAAGGCAGATTGTCTAATAATGCAGTCAAAGCCAGCGACATCCTGGGGAGCTTTCTACTACGAAGCTGAAAATCTAAATATCTGGTGGGAGTTCAGGAGCTTTCTGGAAATTGGTTGATATTATTTTGTGGTGCCTGCCCAGATACCAATTTGCGATTCCTTTAACTGCTCTCATTGCTAAATCCTTGGAGAAAAGAGAGAAAAATGCATCACCAAGTCATATAATTTAATTTTTCCTCACCAGCATTCATCTGAATTTTATTAAGACTCAATCTCAACAAGCAACCTTGTCATTCAATTCCCGAATTGTTCTATGAACAGGCAGAAATAAATTAAATGTTTCTGACTGCATTTCAAAGAAGACTGGGTGGGTGGGTGTTAGGAATGGGGAGGGGATAATTGTCCAACTTGGACTATGTTTGCTGAAGTAGCACAGTTTTTGGTTCAATCAAATGACATCCCAGGGTCACTGGACAGAAAGGTCCCCTCTCTTCACCAGCTACCCAAAACAAAGAGAGAATCCGTGTGTGTGTGCCAAGACCAAACAGAAAAAAGGGGAAAGGAATAAATCAGAGATTGCTAAAACCACATTTTAGTTCAGCAAAAAATCAAACTGAAAATGAAAGGGTTTGGCCTCCCCCCGAAAAACTCAGTTGATGTCTGAGCATGCAAGGACTACTTGAAAAAAATGGTGGGCAGCTTACTAGGGTTCAGGAATAGGGTAAAAGGTAAAGGACCCCTAGACGATTAAGTCCAGTCAAAGGCGACTATGGGGTTGTGGCGTTCGTCTCAATTTCAGGCCAAGGGATCCGGTGTTTGTCCACAGACAGCTTTCCAGGTCATGTGGCCAGCATGACTAAACCGCTTCTGGTGCAACGGAACACTGTGACAGAAACCAGAGCACACGGAAACACTGTTTACCTTCCTGTCACCGTGGTACCTATTTATCTACTTGCACTGGCGTGCTTTCGAACTGCTTGGTTGGCAGGAGCTGGGACAGAGCAATGGGAGCTCACCCCATCGTGGGGATTCATACCACCAACCTTCCGACCGGCAAGCCCAAAAGGCTCAGTGGTTTAGACCACAGTGCCACCTGTGCTGTACTGGGCTGTACGGGGGTTCAGGCATAGGACCTCTATACAGCTTTTTGTTTGTCACAGTATATCTTCCCCCTTTCTCTGCATGCCTGTGTCTTGCCTCCACAGAATTTTCTATGTGATTTCAGTCCCATCTACTGCTGTCTACCAACTCCATGGATTTACACTTGGTCTGGATCCAAACAGATTAGGATATCCTAGGCCCTAACCTACATCAAGTTTAAGAGGCCCTATAGCTTTAGCAAAGTCTATATTATTATGAAATCATATAAAACTTGAAGTTTAAACCATTTCATTAGAGGCTACTCATAATATAAGGATCTACTGTAAACTTTTGCTTACTTAGCTTGCATTGCAATCTGGCCCTGGATTGACGTGACTCCTTCATTTCCTTGTTTATGAGGGCCTCTCTTTATTTTTCAGTTTTTCCTGTGAAACTATTGTGTAAACCAGAAGTGCTAATGGAATGTATTCGCCAGAGGTCAAACACAGGTCTCCATGCTAAAGAAATGTCTCTCCACCACCCCACATTTTGAATGATTGGCCCTCTTTGCGTGGGTGCCAGAAGTTGTTGTTCCTTATACAAATGCTTTCCCTTTGGCAGTCCTGGAAATGCCTTACGATCTATACTTTAAAGAATCAGCATAGAATCATAGAATTGTAGAGTTGGAAGGGGCCATGAGAGACATCTAGTCCAATGCAGAAATCTTTTGTCCAACCCACAACCCTGAGATTCACGGACTGAGCTATGACTACACTAGAATACAATCTTCCAGTACGTAGAATTGAAACATCTTTTAACCATCTGTCTCCTTCCTTCCCCCATCACACACGGTAAAACATGCCATGTTTCTTACCCAAGATATGGTCTGAAGTCACATGATGTTACCACCTTGCTGAAGCTAAGCAGGCCTGGGCATGGTTAGTGTCTGGATGGGTGACCACTTGAGAAAAAACATATATGCTGCCTTAAATTCCATGACAGAAAAAAGGTGGGATTTAGATGTGTTAAATGAAGAATGGGGAACATGTGGCCCTCCAGATGTTGTTGGATTCCAACTCCCATCAGCCCCAGTGAGTATGGCTAATAGGAATGAGGGGAGTTGTGATTTAGCAACAACTGAAGGGCCACAAGTTCCCCACATCTGTCTCAATTAAAGAAACAAATATTTACCCAGTCTACAATGGAAATTTCCTCTCCTTAAAACACAATAATTTTGAAATAATTAATTTTGTTTATATTTCTATGTTTATTTCTATCCCAGCCTTTCTCCCAAAGGGGCCAAGGATGGCAAGCAGCAAAACAATACTTCTTAAAAAAAGTTTAACACATTTAAAACCATTAAATGTCATACCCTCCAACATTTGTCCGATGAAGATAAGGATGTCCTATTCAGCAACAACAACAACTTTATTTCAGTATTTATACCTTGCCCATATGAATGGGTTGCCCAAGCTACCATAGAATAGTATGGTTATTTATCTCCTTGGCTCAGGTTTGCATAACTCCATATTATCCAACATTTCTCTGATGAAAATAGGGACATCCTAAGGAAAAGTGGGACATTCAGGGATCAAATCAGAATCTGGAACAGCTTCTGTAAACCTGGGACTGTCCCTGGAAAATAGGAACACTTGGAGCGTCAGAAATGTTTCAGAGTTGCCACAATGTCCGTCATCTTTATCCATAGATTTTGGAGCTTTTGAAACAGAATTTTATTTCGCTTGATGACTGCACAAAGCTGTTTTAAACCACTATCTACATAAGGGTTTGTTCACAAACAGCCAGGCCAAATGTAATTAGTTCATTAAAAATGTTGTAATGGGAAGCCCCTGTAAGACATGAAGTGATTGGTTTTCAAATCGGCGCATGCATCAAAAGTAAGTCACTATGCGGTAAGGTATAGTAATTTCTGCGGCAGTTCATTAGAGTTGTTTCCAGCTGTTACCTAGTCACAGGAATTTCTGGATGCTTTGAGTAACTGCTATTAACATGTTCATCAAGGGAAGAACATTTCTGGGCTTTTTGCTCTGTTAGAATGCACTTCATTAACAATAAGAACGGTATTTACAAGATATTTGCATTGACTCAGCACTACAGTTGTACCTTAATTACCATTACAAGGAGTTCTTTATATATTTCTGCCTGCATTGTCTGCTGCCATCAGGAAAATTAATGCCTCTTGTACAAAGTAATGCATTATTATTGCAGTAGCCTTTTGCAATGGGCAAGTCAGCTGTATTACTTGCTAACGAATCAGAAAGGGCCCAGGAGAACTGGAATACTTACAGTTAAGTTTGGTAAGCTAATTTCCATTTAAGAAGCAAATCATTTTGAGGTTTTTTTAATATATATATATCTATCTATCTATCTATCTATCTATCTATCTCCAGGAAAGGGCAAATCGGGGCTCTTAAGTATTGGGGTTTCAAGATTGCATTATTTTATTTTATTTTGCAAGTGCAAGGAGTTGGGGGGTAGGGACCACCAGATCAGGCCTCTGGCAGAAGATTTTGTTCTCTGCTGGTTCCAGTCTAAATCAGGGGTCCTATGCCTTCTGTTTGCACCCCATTAATGCTAATTCTGTGAGTAGTGTCATGCCTTATGTGGTCCGCAGGTTCTCAGAAAAGCTCTGGAATATTATAGCGATGTCCAAGAACATAGATGGTAAAGGTATGGAATGGGGAAGTGAATTTAGGAGAATTTGGGAAGGGGAAATGAAGAGTGTGGTTAAAAATTGGTTGGGCTTATGAAACATGGAAATAGAAAGAAGTGCTAGGCAGACATAGGAGAGCTGAGATATAATTTGAGATATTTTACTGGAGGGTTTGACTGCTTAATGGCCATTGCAGGCATCATGCTCTCAAACAGGTCCTTTGCTTACTGCAGGTTTGGGATGTAGGCCATGTTACTGAGCAGGTTCATTGTGGCCATCATTTATCCAAAAACAGGGCTGGTTTGTTTGTTTTCCATTTGAGGGTCAAACAGGAGTTGGAATACATCCATAGACAATAGGAGAAGGAGGAATGTGGCTCTCTAGATTACAGGTGGGGAACTGGATCTGGTCAGAGAGCCACATCTTTATTGCCACATGACCCTGTGCTCCTAATTTGACAGGAGGATGGGGCAACCCAGCTGTCAATCACCTAACATCACAATGATGTCAGCTGACCCGTTTTTGCCTGCATAGTTAGAAACCAAAACACCCAGGCAAAAACCAAAATGTGTGCAATACTTTCCAAGCACCAGCAACTAGCTGATAATTGCCACATGGGACGCACTGTGCAAGGGACTTTGCGGGCACCAGTAATCAGCTGCCTGCAAATCCACTTTTGTCTAAGACCTGGCCACACCTGGTGACTGTACAGGTCAAATAGGTAGGCCCCTGGGGCTGAGGCTGCCCACCCCTGCTCTAGATCAACAGGATCAACATACAGGAGAACTGTATGGTCATTGGGAGCATGGGTTCACTGACTGCATCAGGATCCAGCACCTTGGCCGTGTATACCTGAAGGAGCATCTCCACCCCCATCATCCAGCCTAGACACTGAGGTCCAGTGCCAAGGGCTTTCTGGAGATTTCCACACTACGAGAAGTGAAGTTACAGGGAACCAGGTAGAGAGACTTCTTGGTAGTGGTGCCCACCCTGTGGAATGCCCTCCCATCAGGTGTCAAACTGTTAAGCAACTACAGTGGTACCTCGCAAGACGAATGCCTCGCAAGACGAAAAACTCGCAAGACGAAAGAGTTTCTCGTTTTTTGAGTTGCTTCGCAAGACGAATTTCCCTATGGGCTTGCTTCGCAAGATGAAAACGTCTTTATATTTTGTTTCCTTTTGGATTTTCAATGCATTCCTATGGGAAACCGTGCTTCGCAAGACGAAAAATTCGCAAGACGAAAAAACTCACAGAACGAATTAATTTCGTCTTGCGAGGCACCACTGTATATCACTTTTAGAAGAAGGAAGACCTGTACAGGGAAGTTATTAAATGTTTGAAGTTTTATTTTTTTCCCAATATTTTGTTGGGAGCTGCCCAGAGTTGCTGGGGCAACACAGTCAGATGGGCAGAATATAAACATATTATTATTATTATTATTATTATTATTATTATTGAAGAAGAATCCCTTCTCCAAGTGTCTCATGCATGCTCAGGCAAGGTAAACTGGTTCACAGTTTTTAAGGCAGCAGCAAGCAGTTATGGGGAAAGACTGAGAAGAGTTAAGAAATTATTACTGTAGAAATGATGGAAAGTATACCAATAGGTACCATGCCAAGAAGTACCAATTCAAGTCAGCAATTGAATATCTTCTGCAGAGCAAATCTGAGACCTACATAGCATCTAAATAGTGAAGAATCAAATTGAAACATGTTCAGCATCCAGAAGATAGCACCACTTTGTCTGGCAAAAAAACTATCTGTACTGTAACTATTGTTCAGGAGCAATTCCTCCCAGGTATGTAAATTCTCTGCTTCCTTGTTGCCGCAACATCCTGTGTTCTTGCATTTATTGCTAGAAAACGCTTTTGTTTCCTACTCGCCGTTCCTTTGCTCTCCTGCTCTGACTTAAATTAATGCCTTGGATTTCCTTGTCCTTCTGGTTTGTACTCATTCTCAAGCTGTAATCCTTGGTTCATCTCTGACAATCTCCTCTGACCTTCAAGGGCTGATATGGATTGGCTTCTGCCCAACACGCCTATCTATCCAGCTTGATTTCCGACAACAACACATTAACCTTGATAGCCTTGAAGTTGGCCACCCGCACAT